CAGCGAAATTGGATTTGACGGGATCTTTCAACGGACGAGTGATCACGTGTAAAAGTTACACGGTGATTAAATGGGGGATCGAAAAACGATACGGGAAACGTCTCGGAATAGACGATTACGATTTCTATTACGATTTCTTGCACAAATCTGGACTTTCTCATAAAGAAAAGCTCACGAATCTATTATCCTCCGCAATTTTTCAAGAATTAAATGTTTTGACGAATAAACTTTATTTTAATTAACATTATGTGCTTCTTATTTTACTGTTATTTTAATTATATAAAGAATTGATATATAAGAATATAGATAATCTACACAGCGCTTTTCTGCTAGCGCCGATATTTTTCATCTCAAATAAAACTCAGCTTGGTACTCGCCGACTTGATAATAAATGACTGCGCCAGCTTTCGCGCAATGCGAACGGAATATCTTAAAATTTGTGGTCTACTGTCTGCACGAAATTCATAGATATTCACACTTCAAGATGAAAATTATGGAAGATTTGCGGATCTACAAATGAACGCGCTTACTCATTACTATCGCTGATTTCCCGAGGAAGCAAAGCAGTGCGGATCCGCTACACCGCCGGAAAATTAAAGAATGTAAATTTAATTCTATCGTTGTTTCTCACAGCAAATGAAAAAATACATACCAAATATTCGTCTCGCAAAATTTCAACCAGTGCAGCTTTTTTACAATTTTCATTATATGTATTAAATTTTTTTTGTTTGAAGACAAATAAAACGGCAGATTGACGCCAATTTATTCAGATTAATTGATTCTACTGTAGTTATATTATCATTCAATTTATTAAATATTTAAAAATCCAATAATATGAACAAATCAAATTTAAATTAAAAAATCTGACATGTGTTTTAGACACATTAAGTTTGAAGACTTATTTATGTTCCGCACTGATTGTTGATTTTTCCCGTATCTTTCATGTATTTCATATCGGTGAGCTCGTGCTGCTACAGATCCTTAGTGCATCGGCATCATATCATTATATGTATGCCAGTGATCAACTAAGATGACGAATATAAAAAAAATGACCACATAGCTTTTGCCAGAGAAGATCGGAACAGCTTCCAATTTGCCGGCTTCTCTTTTCCGCTCCGAGCGATTTTCGACGCAGGACGCGGTCCTTTGATGCACGACAATGAGCGACGGGCCTTTCATAATGCGGCCGAACGACGACAAAGTCGACTTCGGCAACGGCGACAACGAGTTCGTCATCGTCATCATTGAACATCTTTAAATCGCGCGGTAGGTAAGCAAGCGAGGAAAAAATTGGAGCCTCCTCTGGAACGCGCGCGCGGGCGGGCTCCGTTTGAATGGCGTCCGGCATATTTCAAAAACGACAAATATTTCCCCCAAAAAGTGTTATTCATGCCGCCACTAAAAACGGACCGCCCTACAATCCACGTTCCGAGGGCGAAAAACCTGACTAACCGCGTGAAATTGTTGCGGAAATCGGTTTACCAGATTTCTTCACGGGTGGACTCCGTTCCAAAGTAATTGAGTCATCGGCCATATGGTGGATACGAGAGACGGAAATAACTTTTCAATGTATATTCAGAAATTTAAGTAATTGTTTCGACACCGAAGACTTTTCTTAATTATTCGACAATAATGTTCCTGCAAACTGCAAGCAATTTACGGCGCGAATTTTTAATCGTTCAACAGACTTTTTGTAAGGAAAATGCGGCCGCGTTGTTCTCGAAGTTACCGCCGCTTCGGCGGAAACACCCGCACGCTCTTTCTGAAAGTACGAGCCACGGCGAGCGTGTTAAAAGCGCGAAATAATTACGCTCCGCTCCCGGTGGTTTGTATAGCAGTTACATGTGTGTGCGCGCGCGGTGGAAAGGATGGCGAAGTGGTTTTCCGTGAGAGCAGAAGCTCATCGTCGCGTCGACGAGAAGCGCGAACGAGCGCATAACGGCTGGATGACGCTCTCGCGAAAGCGAAAAATGGAAGCGCGCGACGGGTCGACAAAGGGCCGAGGCCGGGTGAGAAACGCGCGCACGACGAGCTCCCGCAATGTGTGTAACTGGGTCTTTTTGTGCAACCATCCCAGTCCGCCTTGCAAAATGTCCGCTTCGAGTTTGTTAAGCGAGAGCGAGCGCCGACAGAAAGGTGGAAGAGGTGCCGCGGCATTCCGGCTCTCTTTTTCGCGACGAAATGATGATATTCGGCGGAATGAAAATCGGCCGTTGGAATCGTGAGAATTTTCCATCCGTCTAGAATTTCTAGTTCGCTTCGTATAAAATGCCAAAGTTTGTCGAAAGTGTAGGTTAATCGCGACTTTTACGGCGCGCATCCCGACTCCACGGATTTTGACGATTAAATATTAATGTCGGCGTGCGCTCCACCCGAACAGCTGTTGCGATTCGTGTTGGAGAATCTCAAGAACCTCGATGTCTCTCTCTCTCTCTCTCTCTCCCACCACGTTGGAACCTTATGACCAATACGGTTCTCCTGCAAGACATATCGCCCGCTATAAAACACCGGCGCGGCTAGGTTTTCCAGGTATGTCAGGTGCATGCGAGCTCCCAGGGGTGCGAGTGAAGAAGTCCCACCTTTTCGCGAGTCAGCGGTGAAATTTACATACTCTTCGTCGCGTTAACGTAACGGAGTGCGCGCAAGGAAAGAAGAGAGAAACACAGAGAGAGAGAGAGAGACGACGACGACGACGGGGAGATACGCGGTACGCGATCGCGGAAGCGGTCGGAGATGACAAAAGGGGCGAGGAAGGGAGAGAACGGGGTGGCGATGGCGCGCCCGAGACTTAAGGGTTGTACTCACACCGAATTCCAAGCATGCGCCCGGTACCTGCTCGGAATATCGTCTCGTCATATTTCCGTCGTAACGCGTTGAATCCCCACCCGTCCGAACAACCCTCCTGTCCCCGCTAAGCGCGACCGCTTGACACGAGACGATATTTTATTTGCAAAGAGCCCTGCAGGTTGCCGCTTCTTCTTATCTTGTGTGCACAGGAATTCCTCTCCGCGACGCGGCACAGGCGGGGCGCGGCACCTAGGTTTCATGACACTCATCATACTCCCGCCTCTTTCTTTCTCTCCTTCTTCCGCGAGTCTCTACTTTTCATTTGTCTTTCTATCCTCGTTTGGCCTCTCCCTTTCTTTCTCCGTTAGTTCTCTATTCAGAAGATTGTAACTTTCGAAGGTTAAAGCTAATAATTTTTTAGTAATCCCAACAGAAAGCAAAGCGTCTTAAAAAAAGGGCTTTTATTCTATCTTCGGAATTTATAACAAAATTTTTAAATTGGAAAATAAAAAGAAATATTTCTAAACAAAGTTATTATCCGGTAAGCCGTGACAGCTGAGAGCTTGAAACTTCAGTTCCATCAGTTTTCATATAGAGCCGTCCCTGTTTCTACTTCAAAGTCTACCTCGCACGGCCTATCTCTTGTAGGTGTCTTCTCCGTCTCGTTTTCTCATTCTCCCCCTCACTTTTTCCTTCTCGCTCCGTCGAGCACCACCTCCATCTCTTCTTTCGTGCGGGCGATACGATGAATTATTTATGAATAGCACCCAGGAACAAGTCGAATCGACCACGCTCGAGAGACTCGGCGCGGGCGGCGTCTTCTCGATGCCCGATACATATCCGAACCTATTCATCTTATCGAACTGACCCGCAGGGAAAAAAAAAGGAATTAATATCCTCGGACTCGAATCGGCGAAACAAACACGCCTTCGAGATCGCGAGGTGACATCGATACGCACGCGCGCGTCGCGGTATTATATTATAATACTATAAATAGATAGATAGCGCCGAATGCGCCTTGATTTAAATTGCATACCAAATATTTCGTCACGTACGTTTGCAAATTACGCTCGAAACTGCATCGCGCCGGTGACGTCAATAAATTGTGTTATTAAGCATTGCGTTTATTAATCCCGTCACGTAGTAGCGATTATATTGTAAGTTGTATTGACGAACTCGTTGGACTCGTTAAATGTATGATTAACGGCGAACGATATCATTGATTACAGCAATAATCCGACAGCATAGCTGTTGCGATAACACCTCGCGTTCAATTTATATCTTCGTCTCGCGGAAATTTCTCTCTCAGTTTTTCATACTTGCGTCACTTTCCGAAACAAAAGAGAGAAAAGAAGAAACGCTATTGCAAAGTGTTTAACAGCGTGGAAGTGTGTATCGGTAAATAACGACGTCGTTACACTTGTAATTTTGCGGCGCGTAAAAGATGCAAGTGAGAAAGGCACGGGAGAAGGAAGTGGGATCGTAGGATCAAGTCGTAGGAAGCAGGAAGATGTTGATGTTTCGCAGGTCGTACAATGTGCGGAGGTATGTTGCTACCTTCTCGGGGTTCTCTCGCATGGGTAACGATGCGCAGCATAAAATGCACAGCAGAAATACTGTAAGAACGGTCGTCCTCGTCCGCGTCACCGTTGCCGTCTTCGTCGTCGTCACGTCGGATGTTCCGTCGGAATAATAAAATGCAGGGCTTCCTTCGCCTCGCGTCTTCGTTTTGCGCGCATTCCTTACATCTTTGTACGTCTTTCTCGCCTCCCGACGTCGCGAGATAAAAGAATCGGTTTATCCCCATTTCGACCTATCACGCTATCTCAACCCGAATGTACGTGGTATTCGCAAAGAAGCGTTTCGGAGCGCAAGATTCACGATCAACTTTCCTTTATCTATTTATCCTATCTTCATATATTTAATCACGATAACTTTAGTGACGTTAATTAGTAGGCAACCACAATGTATAAATCAAATTATTTCTCATATCTTAATATACCATGCTTGCCCCTCTAGAGTTTCGAAAATTTCAAAAGTTTATCGGATCAGCTATCAATCAAATCCTTACAATCCTTAGTGAGAAAATTCAAATAAAAATCTCTAAACTGCTTTGTGAAAGTCGTATGGAATTCAAAGTACGTGTTCTGGCATGTTTCTACTGCATTTAAGCGTAGAATGTGAAACCTTGTATTAGGCGTGACTAATCGTACCTGCGAAACAGAGGCGGCTCATGAACGAGCAGGTGGAAATCGTTCTCGGAACACACCTCTCTGTCCCGATGGTGCACGGCGCATTTAAAACTTCTGGTCCGTTTGCCGCTCATCTGCAATAAAAAATTATATTAAATTAGATAAGAATAATTATACAAGTTACATCGAATAAATTAGTTATTTCAAATTTGATAAACATGTATCGTTTAATACATATTAATAATATATTAATTGCCAAGCGCGTGCTGTAGTTTTCCAACAATTTGATTGCAAAATAAATGCGTCTCTGCTTTCACTTGAAAAAATATCAAAAGATTACAAAGATTCATCTCATAGTGAGCGTTTGCACTCCATTTGAGCGGTAAATCGCGAAACTCGGGATTTGTTTTGCGGGAATTCACAGGGACAAAGGGGCTGCCGGTCTTGGCACCGACCCTGGGTGTGCGGGAAGCGCGAGCCACAGAGGGTTCCTCGAGGCTGATATTTGGATCAGGATCCGTTAACGCGGTTAGGCAAATGCAAGCAAGAACGCCGGCAAACTCCTCGAGGTAAGTTGTGTATACGTAGACGAGTGCTGTGCTGGTGGCTAGACCACCGCATGCCCGTTGTATTCGCGCAAACACGCACGTACATACACACACAAACTCGTCTCGAGATCGTCTTACACGTGTAGTTTGTACCCCGTTTACACAGGGATAAGCGCACACGCAATGGCGTAGCCAAAGGACTAATGCGGTGGTTAAAATTAATCAAGTATCAGCGTAGTCAAATTTCCAACATTGTTGTAAATAGCCGTGAATACCAGTGATTACAATGGTATGTCTGGACAAACTAAAATGGTAATATATACAAAATGGATTATATTATACATTCTGAATTTCAGCATTCCTAAAATTTCGAATACAAATCTATTTGAATTTTTTTTGTACGAAAATTTCGGAAAAAATATGATTTCAATAATTCATCATGAAGTATAAATAGACGGAAAACATTTTAATATTGGGTGTTAATACGCAGATAAATGAATATATTCCTATTTGAAGTGTAATAATTATAAACCATATAATCATGCACATAATGCAGATCAATAAAATTTAATCCTCTTGCATTACTGTTTATTTTCTCATGCGATGTGCCGCTCTGATTGCATTTGTTCCTCGCGCGAGAAATTTGCGCGATATATAACACGAGTTTTCTTCGGCTTCCACACTTTTTCTTTATTCACAAAGAACATTTCCATGAAAACTGGATAAGCCGCCGGGCGTCCTCATATCTTGTCCCGATGGCATCTTAGAAATTTTACATCCAGACACTTTTTATCTTCCTTTCTGCTTTCGTACGTTTCCTCCGTGATTTATGCCAGACATCATTCAAGAACAGTTACATTGACTTTTCCTAACGCATCATAAAACATTTCATTTTCATTTCTTAATTCCGCATTTCGTATCGTTTCATTTCATATATCATACGAAATATCGCTAAAAGTCTTGAGAATTCCAAAATAAAAGAAGAAAAATGGTGAAAAACGCAAATGGTGTAGCATAAACATTAAATAGAGATTTGGAAAACATTTTGCAAGTATTTTCCAGTTTTTCTGCCAATTGTATTCTCCAATTTGAATACCTGTCAGTTATTTTGTTATTATAGGTACGACTTATATTCTGATTTTTCGACTTCTTTTATTACCTATCCTGCTGTTCTATTTTATTTTCTTAACAATTTTACACTGCCAAGGGTCACTCGGTATTTGAGAATATATTGACGTGAATTCTCTCACGTTCAGCGAATACTTGATGCCCACTGAGGCTTTTCAGGTTCGACACAAGATCGAACGTGTCAGGGTACAGGTTTGTCTTTTGCAATCGGATTTCTTTCTTTCTTTTTTCTTTTTCTTAAAATCGATACATTGTTATATATTACTGCAGATTGCACTCATATTAAAATAGAAATATAAACATTTCTTAGCAAGAGCGTCTGAAATAAAATGTGAATTAACAGATGATGTTCATACTTGCATGACACACAATTTTCCGTCTGAGTAATTTTTCAATTTACGGAAGCAGCCGTTAATTATGTCATCATAAGAAAACAAAGCGACGAAAGAAGCAGGACTTGCATCTTGCGGTTGTGCCTCCAGGAATACGGCGATGGTACAGGCTTGGCTTCTGCTCGTTTGATTGCCAAAAAGGAAGCCGTCGAGAGACAGACGAGCTGGAAGGAAAGGAAGGATGCGCCAAGAATGAACGACGCGACGGGACAAATTTGGACTACTCAATGAAGAAAATTTAATTTGTTCGGCGCTCGACGGCCTTCGTTGTCGTCGTCGTCCGAGCACAGTTATCGAGCATCCACTTCACAGCGACTTTATCGACGTCCATTTTGCGGTCTTCCCTCTTTTGGCGCTCGTTTTCATTAACGATGTGACGTGCTTCCAATCGCTAGATTTCTCCGCTGACGAAATGCTCTTAGCGAAAAATGCGGTTAGAGCACAAACAGCTCTATTATATGTCGGTTCTTCTTCCTCGTCGTCAAGTAAAAGTTTCGCGAAGTACATTACAAAAATACGCTGCGGAAAAATCTCTTACAATTAGTAGAAATTTTATATTTCGAGACACGTTTTCGTTTAATTTTAATCGCGAACAATAAATTCTCTTTTCGTAAAATTAAGTTCCATTTTCATACTCGAAAAAGAAGTCTCTCTCTCTCTCTCTCTCTATGCTTCTCAAGTACTTTTTTTACACGAAAATTACACAAAGAGATATCTTCAAAGGTAACAAACGCTAAGTTATATTATTAGAGAAATGGAGAAAATTTAATCATTAACCCGTCTTTGTGTTACTTTACCTTTGCAGATTTTTCTATCGCATCGAACTCATTTCTTTCTTTAAGTATGTTCATTCTGCCTCGTTTAAGATCTTTTTCAGTTTTAACGTATACACAAAAATAGTAAAACTAATTTTTCCTATCATTTGAGATAAAAAGATTTTACTATAATGTTCCAAATCTTTCTTTTTTAAAATGTCTCATTACATTTCTCGCCGGCGTGTAATGAATCTTTTATACTCTATGTGCATGCGCATTCATCTCATTTTCTTCATACATTCGTTCCTATTTTCTCATTTAACACGAACATACGGCAGAGTTACACGGCACGATGAGAGCTCTTTATCACTGAAAATGTAAAATTTCGCCTATAAGATCATAACGCGGAACACCTTGCGCGCGTGAATGAATGCGGAATAACATGGAAATCTTTGCCCTATTGCATTTCTTTGACGGCGTAAGATATTCCTGAAATTTTTATCGATCGCGTCAATAAAAAAGACGTAAAACGTAGCGTAGAAAAACAAACTCACTTTCCTTCTCTCTTCTTTATACGTTTACGTCTCCGGTTTACAGCACTTACATTGCCTACATCTCGTAATGAAAGCGCGAGCAATTCGTCATTTCTACCGCAAGCGTTCCTCAACTGCTTTTTTCTCGTTTGCCTTTTATGTCCACGCGTTTCGCTGAAAAGTTATTTCATCGTCGGACATGCATGGTTCTATAAATAGTAATGAACAATTTCCGTCATTGATCAATTAAAAAATCACAAAAAAAATAAGACTGGAATTTATAGTAAAGCAGCGGAAAAGTAAAATGCAATCGAGTTAAGAAATTTATCACATTTTCTTGAATATCTCACCCATTCATTATTGTTACACTTCATCTAACAATAACGAATCTCTTATAAATTCCAATTTTTTTAGGCAATTATTACGCAAATATTGCTTCGCATGCCTCTAAAAAAAGAGGGCTCCAGGGAAAAAAAATAAAGTTAACCTAGATCGTCGTTGTTTCGAGAGAAATGTGTAAACCCTCGAACATATCGGGTGAGGATAAAAAGCGAATCCACGTTGGCTTGTTTGTGCGGCTATAAAGAAGGCCAGATTCGTCCTCGTCGTCGTCGGCGCGGCGGCGACTTCACTAAGTAAGTAAATCTTCGACGTGGATTTACGATCCCGCAGGGAGTCGGCCGTGTATCTCGTTCGCCGTGCCGTGGCGCGGATCGATAGTATCGCAGACGGGGCCCCAAGCCTCGTTCTATTAATCTCGATCGTTTGTCCTAAGTTTATCGTCCGCCGCGAAGTACCGGCTACGTTTAAGCAGGAAGGTCACCGCTCCGTCTCCGTATATGTACTTGTGCGCTGAAGGGGACCACCTTCTGACCGCCCCTTATCGACCGCGTGCACCTTAATTTCAGTTAACTTTTATCCACTCTCTGCTTATAAATATAACAAATCATTTTTTAATCTCTGTAAGTGGTCAACAAAATGCGTGATTTTTTAATAACAAATATTGAATCGTGTCGTTCAAGATTCCAACTAGATCAAACTAAGGTTACAAGAAATAATGAGTTCCCGGAGGAACACTGCAAAAATTCAAATATATGATGCTTCAGAAAACATGATCAAAAAATGTCTAAATACATATGTGTATATAACAATTTCAAATTAATATCCAAATTTAAATTAATATAATAATTATTGCATTATTAATATAACAAGCGCTAAAGCTTTGACGTCAAAATTACCAAAGTGATTGGTTTAGCGCTTGCATAAGTTTTCAGACCGAAATACGTCTAAACGGCAAACGGTAGCTGTTTAGAAAATAACGATGAAAGATTTAGCGTTGTCATTTCGCGTTCGCTATCGGGCATGCAGAATCGCCAGAATGATACCGATAATTACTGGTCGTGATATCATCGAAATCGATTCCGATTATTATGCAGCAATAAACGCTCGCAATCGCGAGATAGACGCGCTCGTCGCGAATCGCGCACACGCTCTCACGCGCGCACACCGAAAGTCGACTTAACGGTATTTATCAGCATTATCCCGGCGTACGACGGGATAATGGGTGTAGGGATAATATTTCCGGCAGCGCCATTCGTCGGCATTGCAAATTCGCTGGGACAACAGTTTTGCATTCCAAATCGGTTGACTGTCGACCGTGCCGCATATAACGCGTCGCCTCATCCCTCCGTCTGCCTCACCCCTTTCCATCCCAGCCCTTCTCGCCGCTTCGTCCCTCACGGGTTTACGGCCGTGAAAGCCCGGCATAATGAAATCCG